CAAAAAACGTACACAAATTATAGTGTAAATATAAGTTGTACTTAATAAAGGCTTAAATGATTTAGGGCAAAGGCAAATGGGCTTATAGATTTTGGTGTCTGCGATTAGAATTCTTTTGTATTATTCTAGAAATCTTGTATTTAAAGAAGTGCTGTCCCTTTTAGGTCTGTTCCCGCTCAGTGGCAAGTGTTACCTGTCCAGGTATGCAACATTTCTAACCAAATTCTGCATTGTACAGCCAACAATAAGACCACCTGGTGCATAGTGACTCACGTGCTCCAACCCTGTGTGGTGGGTCCCAGGAGTTGATGTTGTGCAGTCCCAAATCTAATTGTCCTGTAAACTGTGATTCCATGGGTCATGCTGCTGGTGATGCATAAGCTTCAGCTTCTGTGCAATCCCATCTGGAGTTAAGGTTGTGTGGGCTACTCCGGGCTTCTCCTGATACTCCACCTCAATGGGGTTGGATCCTAGTAGGTTGGTATTGTGAAGGGTAGCTTGATGAGCATTGTATGCAAAATCCCACCGAAGTTTTCTTTGGGATATGGCTAATCTCAACAATCTTGATGTATATATCCATGGCCAATAAAGCACTGTTGAGATGAGGGTGTTTCACAAGGTTGCTTATAGATTTTCCTTGCAATATATTTGCTTCATAAATATGCCTGTTCCAGACCATAATAACCCATGGACTTTCATGGGTAAAGCAGAAGGGGATAGCTTGCATCCTTGATGTTTCTTAGATTGAATATATGAGGGGTGATCTGCTTTTCAAAATAGGGTTTTCATGATCACCCATTTCACTGTCTCTGGTGTCAGTTTTCTCCCGGACTCTCTACAATGCCCCTCCCCATGTTCATCCAGTGGAATATGAGAGTCTTTGGCACTTTGTACTTCTGGGGTGGTGAACCATGGAAACTACATCCTGAATGTGATCACCTCCATTCAGTGGAGAGTAGGATGGATGTGTTCTGTAGATGGCATTGATCCTCCAATCATGCACTTCACTTCCATGTAGTGAGTCCCAGAAGTTGATGTTGCACCCAGCTTCTGTGCGATTGTATCTGTAGGGTGAGGTTGTGCATATTTTTCAGAAATGATTCACTTCCATGTGGTGGGACCCAGAGGTTGACATAGTTCTCCAGCTTTTGGGCAGTCCTATCTAGATGATGATGATGCTGCTTTCGAGTAGATCCATTACATTGCAGTTCACCTCTTCTATTGGGATCCCTCGTCCAACCATTACCTGGATATCAGTTACCAGTGAGTAGTTTTGCTTTAGAGCTGAACCAATCAAAATAAATCTGCACTCATGTGTATTCCTCATCCTTCTTACTTTGGTTTGGGGTTTTTGCAGCATGCACTCCTTCTGTGTGAAGAGGGTCTTGGGGGTTGATATCATGCTCTGGCTTCTGTGAAGTTCCTATGCAGAGGGTGTGGTTGCATATATCTTACAAAAGCAATCCAATTCCATGCAGTGGGTCCCAGAGCTTGATGTTGCACTCCAGCTCCTGTGTGGTCCTATCCATGGGATTGTGTTGCACATCTTTCCCACAGTCATTCTTCCTCCGTGCAGTGGGTCCTGGAGGTTGAGCTTCTGCACAATTCTATCTGGAGGATGATGTTGCAAGGGGCCAATGTTGTCCCTCTAGCACTCGACCTCAAGGGGGTTCACTACCTGAGGTTGCTGTTGTGCTGTGTGGAACAAGTCCAATTGGCTTTGGATTTGGCTTGAACTGCCACATTGTTATTTCTCTTCTCCTAACATTATGGTAGTTAATTTGGATGCAAGTGCCCTGTTTGGTAGATCGGTATGGATATTGTCTCCTTACATTCTACTCAACTTGAAGTGAAGACGGTGTAGACCCTTCTCCTACCATATGTAGGATGATGTATGCCCAATGCTATTTGGTTTTGGACTCGAGTTGACCTGCCGGGTATGGTCTGATGCACCTAAGATACTCTAAACCTCTTGGAGGTGGGTGGTGTTGACTAGCTGCCTCCATTGGCTGTACCCTTAGTATTCCAATTAAGCCTGCATAAGCCAGTTTTTTATTAAGTACAAAGCTACACAAAGGGCTATCAGTGCTCTGCCATACACAGGTATCGAAACCTGGTTTCTATCAGTATAAGTCCACGGACATACCACTGTGCTACTGGATGGCTGCTTTATAGGATGATCATTTCTAGTATTTATATGATACTGGGTAATATTTGTTCTTCCCGACAATATGTTTCAGCAAAATTTATCAATAATGTCCCAAATTTTTGTTGCTGTTCTAACTATTTATTATCTTCACAATCTTTGATCAGAAGTCTTAAATGTATTGGAACTATTTATTGATGTAGTGTATCACTTCTCTTCATATTATCCACCTGGTTGTCTGTTGTAATAACAAACTATAACTAGAATTTATCTTGCTCTTAGTGATACAACTACAACAACTTGGTGATACAGCAAGTGTGGCTTGGTTTTGTTGCCTCAGCTACAGTTTTAGTTGCTGGTTTAATCTTTGGACCACAAAACACTACATGTGAATTGTAAGAATGTTAACATCATAATCTATATTATACACTCATGCAATCCATAGCTTTTGTGCTTATTTTGTTTAGTGTTTTATGATTTTTATCATGGTGCTGCAGTACACCTGGTGCACAGGCTATATACTAGCACGTAACATCTGTAGGAAAGCTAAACCTAAAAACGTGAATATTTGAACCAATACAGCTTTCACTATATTTAGTGATGGTATTAACAATGAGGTGAATTAAAGCTCCTCCATTCATTGTAAACCAATAACCATTTATAAGGAAATACATATGTAGATGCTGACACGAATGTTAGTTTATCTGATGTTGACTGATAAGTCATGAAATCATTTAGAATTTTAATGACACTTGTATCAACTAAAAGTTCTACCTTGTGTTCGTGTAATTTTGCAGGCACCTACCAAGTCATACTCTTCACTATAGCTATCATGCCAGTCACTGCCTGTTTCTTTTAGATCAGTGATTACACCTGATTCAGGGCTCACCCTGTCATCATCCTTAAACCTGTTTTTGATTATTTGATCTATTCTATGACTTGGATTCCTATGTAAACACAAAGAAGGGACAACTAAACCAGAAATGATTGTATTAACAGATATATAATATCTGCTATAACAGATATTTATTCTGCTCATTCCATGAATTCAGATGCCATTCTCATTATTGACGAAGTTGGCATGGCAAGTTCTATCTGATGTAGACTTAATGCTGAAACGTACCACCCATTAGAAACGTTTTTTTTTTGAGGATGAAAGAAACCATTTGTATGACTAAAGTTATTTTTTTCACAAAGTATTAATGCCTATAAACATCCTCAGAAAAGCATTATGTACTTTGAATACTGGATTTAGTTTGTTTAGTTTTTAGAAGATACACTTTACAAGCTTATATTGTATGAAGTATGTTGGAATCAAAAAAGAATTGATGTATCTAATTTGAAGTACTTCTCAATTATAATGATGAATTACATATTTCTTTGATTTGTCCGTCTGTTAATGTTTTTCAAATTTATAGTTTAGTAGTCTATTATTCTTAAATCAATGTAAGAAGAACTTTTGTCCCAATTTAATTTTGGTATAAAATAATCAGATATAAAAACTTGAAGACTGTTTTTTGATAGATTGTTTAGGCAGAGTATTCATAATAAGTATATTGGAATGGACGGCAACTGCTTATCATAAAAAACACAAGTGTAGAGGATGGCGTTTAGAAAGTCTTTCGTCTTTCCTCTTCAGGTCCAGAAGATGGAAGACTTTCTAAACGTTGTACTTTACACTTGTGTTTTTTTACAACAGTTATCATCCATTCCAGTACACTCACTCCATTCCAGTACACTCACTTCATTCCAGTACACTCACTCCATTCCAGTACACTCACTTCATTCCAGTACACTCACTTCATTCCAGTACACTCACTTCATTCCGGTACACTCACTCCATTCCGGTACACTCACTTCATTCCAGTACACTCACTTCATTCCAGTACACTCACTTCATTCCAGTTCACTCACTTCATTCCAGTACACTCACTTCATTCCAGTACACTCACTTCATTCCAGCACACTCACTCCATTCCAGTACACTTACTCCATTCCAGTACACTTACTCCATTCCAGTACACTCACTCCATTCCAGTACACTCATCTTAAAGACTGTTGTTTTAATACACGTCTCTTTATAATTATTCCTTATTTCTATACACTGTATTGTGTTACTTGTTTTATTTTGTACTCTTTCACAGAATTGTTTTATAACTTTAAAATGTAACATTTCTGTTCATGATTTTGAAATTTCATGCCTATACTAACTTGTTGTATAACATATTATTTGTAGCCTTTGTTAAAAATATAATGTACTTAAAATATCATATTACATGCATATCAAAAATGAAAAAATAAACAATACACAAGAATTAAAGTGTTAGCAATGTTTCGTTGTTTATACTTTCCTTTGTCTTAACTGAGAATTTTTGTGCTTATTTTTAGGGTTACAATAGGATGAAAGAATATATTGCAACACAAGGTATGATCATAACAATATATATATATATATTGGCTTAATACAAAAATATGCTTTGAAATTTATTGCCTGTGTATACGAAAAGCTTAAATTTATATTAGTAAGTTTGTTAAAAAAGTTGTATTTGCATGTAATGGAATGAGTTTATCTCACACATTTGCCATGATGTGCTTGACTACTTGTGTCTTGATAATAATATACTTCAGTCGTGTGTGTATACCAAATGGTATTAATAAGCTATCACACCAGGAAAGTAATCCATATTTGTATTTTTATTTTAGTGATTTCTTTTTATATAAAACCAAGAATATATAAATAAGTTGCATATGTTCAACTCTAAAATATGGGTATCTCTAGTTTGTGTATAAAAATATTGAAAGGGATATAGGTGTATGAAACTATTTAAAAATAAAATAACAGAACAAAAACAATAACCAGATGTTTTCAGAATGGCCTTAAAGTCCTTTATTATGGAGGAAACATACATCTAAGAACTCTGAGGGTCACAATAAAAAATATTTGGGGTGGGGGAGTATATATCACAAGATCATACTTAAAATTTTGATTTACAGAATTTAATGGAGAATACTGAGCAGTTAATACGATATGAAAAATTTTTGGTAATAGAGAAAGGAATTAATTTTTATATTCCCTAACCGGTCTAATAGTTAATTCTTTCTTCCCTATTTATCTCCATGTAGTGAATAAAATAATGTATTGATCAGCAAATAAGATTTAACAAGTATCCTAAGAGATTTATTCAGCTCTTTTTTTAAATACATCACCAAAATTTTCAATATAAAACAAAAACGTGAGAAATTAAATATTAAATAAAAATTTTGAGTGAAAGAGATTTTAATGGAAAAAAAAATCTGTATTAAACAATTGCAAGATAATTTTCATTTCACGGGTTTTAGGTCCAAAGGAAAATACTTTCTTTGACTTCTGGAGGATGGTGTGGCAAGAAAATTCTTCTGTAATAGTTATGGTGACTGGTTTAGTGGAAAATGGAAAAGTATGCCATTCTGTATTAGTATTTATTTATCCCAAACTTTTAGCTTCAGAATCTCCTATAAACCACTGAAATATTCACAATTAATATGATTTACTCTGAATATTAATAAATGTTCTTATACACAGAATGTGTTGCTAGCTTGTTTTTTTGTATTTGATAATCATGAAATATCATTTCTGTAACTGTAAGTTAGACTTATGGATACAGCCTAAGAAGTTAGCCATAAGAAAGAATAACTTTATTGAAAAATGTGACTCAAGTTATCAAGAAGTTAAAACAAAATCTAGAATTAAAGATGATTTTTTTAATAAAATAAATATTATAAATTCTTTTGTTTATCAGTCATAAATATTAATATAAAATCTTTAATGGTGTAATGTTTAAAAGTTGAAATGTAACTGTTTGGTAATTATCATTACTATAACTCAGAAGGAAATACTTAAACCTTGATAATTATTATTTCACAGCGAAAGTGTGCTAAGTATTGGCCTGATGACAGTATTCAGTATGGAGACCTACAAGTGCTACTAATCCATAATGAGACATGCATGGACTTTATTATACGTACCGTTTTGTTGAGAAAGGTGTGTTTTTGTTTTGTAGCTTCATCATTGTATAGAAGATCGTAAGTACAAAGCTAGTTTAAAGAAAAAATAACAATCAAGATAATTTTTAATTCACGAACAATTTTATACAGAAAGCTTAATCAAAACAACTATACTATCTATTAAGGGAATTCAGATGTCCTAACAAGAAAAGATAAAGATTCTAAAATCTGATTTAAAAGAATTTACTAGGGAGTTACTTAAAACTAAGGATTGTCTTGTTACATATCAAGTTTTAGAAGTAAAGGTGACATTGTTTGATTCACATTTAATTCTGGACACACTGTGTGTATCTACAGGTTCTCTTTTGTGTGGAGCATTTTCTTACTAATCACACTCCCCAAGATGTTGAAGTGATTTGATGTAACATTTACGTTACAGTCTTGTAAACAATGGCAAAGAATTGGTGACTGATAATGCACTGTATTTTGTGCATGCTCTTTAACATCAGAGCTCAAATAACGAATTGTAGCGCCCACATAGCCAAGGGTACACCTTGGACATGTAAATGTATAGATGACATAAGAACGATGTGTTATAGGAAATCTGTCTTTCAATTTAAAATAATTACTTATATGAAATATCAGTTTAAAAACAGTTCTAAACTCAATTTGTGGATAAATTTTATTATTCAAAATGACTTTAATTTATTTCTTACATTCTAGTGAATGTAGTAAACTATTTCTTTCGTTTCAACCCGTTCACTGAATTTTGGAATGTACAAAGCTTCTGAATACTTCTTGATAATCTTATCAATTACCTGTACAGGAAAACTATTTTTGTGTAAAACAACCTTTATATTTTTTGTATTTCTTCATGGAATCTAGAAAAAGAACTAACTATGTTATAAGCCCAGTGAATTAAACTATGAATTAGGTTCTTTTTTAATTCAAAAGGTAAAAAACTATCAAAATGAAAATATTGTCCTGTAAACGTTGGTTTATGGTACCACTTAGTCTCAAAACTTCTATCGAAAGTTATCTAAAAAAAGCTGAAATATTAACTGTTTGTTCTTCTATTGTAAAATTATTATTGTTGTGTTGACTGTTCAAGTAATTTTGAAATTCCTGAACATCAAATTTATTCTTAAAAACCACAAAACTATCGTCAACATATCCTCTATAGTATAACAGTTTAAAACTTTCTAACCACATTTTTTCATGATGACTTAAAAATAAGTTTGCCAAGTTTGTAGTAAATTCTTTTAAATCAGATTTTAGAATCTTTATCTTTTCTTGTTAGGACATCTGAATTTTACTCTTTTTTTTTTTTTACTTTTTGTGTCTTTTACTTCCATTTCTTTGAAATAAGAATACTCTATATAGAAGTAAAATTATAATGCTCTATAACCATTCATAGACTTTTTGTAAGTTTTGAGTTGTGGTATATGAAACATACAAGGTGTTTCTTTTACTTTTAGTTTAGTAAGGTAAACATTTTAGTTAGTCAGGATTTAACATTTCTCCACACTTTCATACTTTTTATGCACATATCTGTATGTATAACATACTTTCACACACTTTCAAGATTTGACTTCCTTCAGTATTTCTGGACTTTTTTCACAGAAAATATCACGAGAGAATTTCATAAACTTGTATTAATGTGTTCTCTAATAATAATGGGTGTGTAGAAGTTAGAAATACCTAGCGACTCCATTCCCAGTATTTGCTAATGATGATAATCATGTGATGTGGGTAACGAAGGTACTCTGGGGAGGTTGGTCCTATTTCATAAGCACATATAGTGCTTGATTCTTTCAGCATTATCCAATATTTATCTGGTATAGATCTTTCTAGCATCCAGAAAAAGAACTTGGACTTTCCATTGTCCAATGTATTTCTCAACTGGTTGAACTTAATTGTTTGTTTTGTTCCATTCAGTAAATTTTGTGTAACTACAAACTTGTGTAGAGTCTCTTTCCTTAATTCATTTAGGTCAAAATTCAGTTTAACCTTCTGAATACATTTTTTGTTGAACTTTAGCTAGAGCGAGTACTGTTCTCACATTGTTAATGAATGAACCAACTTTACTTTAGGACTGCAACATTACTAATGACTACAATATTAACAAACTGGCATTAATGATAATTTTGTCTCAGTTAATGACCAATGCTGGTGAAAATTGTCATCATGGCTAGTGCGGAAGTCAAAATAAAGTATGTACACCCTTACTTCACGTTTTATAATAAAAAGTGAGCAAGCCATTTAAATATGAAATCTACAATGTACCAGAGAAATATCAAAGTTTATCTATAATATTTTACTGTTAATAAAGATGCATACTTTGATATTTCTCCTGTTACTTAATGTGGAAAGTATTTCTAATTTTCATGAGATTTTTGTACCTTCTCTACAGAATATTTTAATTATAGCTTCTCAAGAACAATTGCAAATATATACATACAAATTAATTGATCCTGAAGTACAGAGCAATTGGTTGTTTATAGGAAAGAGAAACACGGAGGGTTCGTCATTATCAATTTTTAGATTGGCCTGATCAAAGAGTTCCTTCAAATGCTTCATCCCTCTTGATGCTGCAACGAAGAATCCGAACAGATAATCCTGATAACAATACCCCAATTATTGTTCACTGTAGGTAAGGTTATCATAATTTTCATATGATCAAAAACTATTTTTGTTATGAGTAGCATTTTGAAAGTTAGTTTTATCGAGAAATAGGAAATATGAAATAATGACACATATCTAGTCTTTACCCTAATATTATATAGACTTGAATATAAGTGAACTACAAAAGAAATTAGTTATATATGAAAATGCACAGCTTTATTTGCTCTACTGAAATCGGTTACTTTATGACATCTTATGCAACTAATGCTTGAGTACATTATTGAAAGTAGAAAAATGGTTTAAAATTTTTTGTACATGCATTTTAGTGCAGGTGTAGGAAGATCTGGAACTTTTATAGCCATTGATGCTTTACGTAACCAAGCCGATCGAGAAGGTCGGGTAGATGTATTGAGTTTTGTCAACAAAATGAGAATGCAACGAATAAACATGGTACCAACTTTGGTAAGCATGTAGGAATATTTTTCTTCCTTTATTTTTTTTTGTCTTCTTGAGTTTTTTTTTATTGTGTGCCACTGAAATATTCAATACTTTTTGTTGTGATTGTGTATTAATCGAATTTATGTGTTATGATACCTGTAATTTAGTATTTTTATCTGCTGATATAGTTTCTTAGCAATGATTTATAAGGTGGAAATTGGGGAACATCTGGGTGCAAGTGATCATTGCTCATTAGGTTTGATGTTTCTCTTCATATGGAGATAAATTGGTTCTAAATTTCAAAAAGTAAACTTTAAAGAGATTAGACAAGAATTATAAGCTGTGATTTGGTCAAGTTAATCAGTTGGAGATACTGATCAAATGTGGAAACCTTTTAAAAGTAACTGTTTCAAATATTAAAGATAGGTATGTTCCTTATAGAAAAAAATGGTGGCTGCAAGTAAAAAAAAAAAACCGGGATAGCTCTCAAAAGCTATAAAGGATAAAATTAAAGTGAAACATTATAAATTTAAGAAGTTTAAATTGACTACTATGCTGGGAGATTTGAAGAATAACAGAAAATCCAGAGAGTTGGTCAAATTGAATATTAAGAAATCAAAAATCTATATGAAAAAAAAAAAGGTTGGCTGAAAATGCAAAAATTAGTAATAAGGATTTCTTTAAAGGTAAGAAAAATGTTAGGATGGGAGATAGGGCCTTTAAGGTATGGTACAGGAAGGCTCATATCTAATGATTATGAGATGGCTGGTTTATTACTGAACCATCAGTAGACATGATTATATTATTTCTGAGCTTATTAAGAAAAAATGGTAAGTTTGAAGAACGATCAATCTTGTAGGTGAGATAATATTTCACCAAGGATTTTGAAGGAGGTTAAAAATAAGAGATGTGAGCCACTTGCTACTATATTTTGCAAGTACTTGAATAATGTACAGCTGCCTGAAAAGTGCTTGATTTTTCAAGGAAGGTGGTAATGATTGTCCCATTAATTATAGGCCTATTAGTTTTACATCAGTGATGGAAAAAGTTTTTAAATGTCTGATAAAAAATGCTTTGCAAATTCATTTGATGAAGTTTACACTTTTGTTGGATAGTCAGAATGGTTTCACTAATTAATTTTGCCATACTAATCTTTTGACATTCTTTGAAAACGTTTCTGCTTATGTAGTTGAGATTATGGATGTTAGTTTGGTGTATTTGGTGTATTTTCACAAGGTACCACATAAAAAGTCTTGTTGAAAAGTTATCTTTGTAGGTGTTTTGAATAGGTTCGTTTATTGGATAGAAAATAAGATAGATGTAGAAGTTTGTTATCAATTCAAATTGGAATAATATCTCAAGCATGGTAACTCAGAGCTCAATGTTAGAATCTTTGCTCTATTTTCACTTATATGAAGAGATGGTCAATAAATCCTACTTCCCACATTGCTTGAATAACTTAAGATACTCATCAACTATAACACCAAGATGCTTTCTTTCCATAGCACTTTTAACGTTATTCCCATCAAAATTATCCTCATAACTTAAATCATGGTATCATATTTGCATTTATTATAATCAAAGCCGTCTGCCATTTGTAACCTAAATCATCTTGTAAGGCCATATTTGGAGTATTGTGTTCAGTTTTGGGCTCCTTATCACAAGAAGAATTGTAGAAAAGTGCTCAGAGGAGGACTACTACGAAGATATCTGTGACGGAAAGGTTTTATGCCATACAAGGGCAGGTTAAGATATCTTAAAGGGAATCTTTTTTAATATTTAATGGTGAGAATGGTAGGACTAGAGGACACAAATATAAATTTTGGCAGGGTGTAGGAGTCATCTTCAGCTAATACAACATTATTTCCAAAACATACTTAGCTCCTCTCATACTTACAGTTATTACTCGACTGGCAGGATTTTTCCTTTGCCCATCTAAGCATTTTTTTCTCATCTTGCTCCAGCCTTTTATACCTCACTTAATTGTCCTTTGCGATATTTGTCTTGTTACACTCTTACACCTACATCAATGTTTCCTCTATCCTGGTACTGTATATAATTACCTCATTCAGATAATGTTATCACCTTTTTCTCAACAAAGCATCACTAACAGGTTTCCTAGTCCTATGATAATTCGGAGATACTTTGAACATTCTCCGTGTTACCTAGTTGATTTTTGTAACTTTTTTTTGGTTGGCCTGATTTATGGTATGAATTCCTGGATTATTATTTCCAGTACAGAGGCAAATCAGATCTTTCCTATCCCACCTCTGATATCTAGTGTCACACAACAATCGGGGAGGAGTCACTCTTGTTTGAGACTGTCAGTGATTTTATTCATAGTGAGATAAAGACATATATTCGATTCTGTGGTGTTTCTCTATGGAGGCTCTGAGGCTGCAATTGAGGGTGATCCTCGACATTCTAGAGAGAATTTAGATTCGCTTTCTCCCTGCCTTTTTTTCGTCTGTTGGCTTTTCAGTCCCCCTATGGGACAGTAGTGAGTTTAAGGACTAACAAAACAAACTTACCCGACCAGATGCTGTTCCAATCAATGGTAATCAAGACAGTCTTTAAATGACATTTAAAAACTAAAAGAAGGCCACTTTGGGATAAGCTGCCTTTTATTTGTTTTCTTCTGTTGGTACATTGGGAGTGTGATGTTTTGGGTCTTATAGGAAAAATAAATTAGAAAATTCAGTTAATATTCAGAATCTGTCCCATCCTTCTCTGTCTGTTTTGATCTTTTTCTTTGACATAAACTAACCAACCACTCTATTTAAACCTCAACTGATTCTTGAAGCTAGCAGTAGATTTTAATGTAACGGAATGAATACCAGACAAAGAACTTTAGTCAATAAAAGTAATCAAATCTCTTGCAAGAAAAACAACGTTTTTGTCATATGCTTTCTTCACTGTTAAGCACTATATAAACAGCTTACACAAATTACAATGGCTATACTATATAAGATGTTTACAAAGTAATTTACAATGAAGAAGTTTAATACCAAAACAATGATAATTGAAAAAGGCTTCTTTAACTTAACTTATGGCCTTCAGAGAGTTACCAGTGTTAGAAGTTGATAAGTAGATTTTGTAATGTTAAAATTAAGAGAAATATAATGTTGAAAATAATTGATTTAATGTGATTAAATATGAACTAAATCTTTAGGATTCTGAAGAACATCATCTGTTAATTGAACAATTAGTGAGCTACCTAATTGCACCATTATTTGGGTGTTTCCAAGTTTTTTAACTGGATAAAAGCTCTTTTTTTTTTTCTAGGAACAGTATGTTTTCATTTATGAAGCCATTTCTGATGCTTTTTTATGTGGTGATACAGTGGTGATGGCTGACCAACTTCATACTTATGTTCGACATATATTTTTTCCTCAGCCTAACACTCAGTTGTCTGAGTTGGAGCAGCAGTTTGAGGTAACACTTGAACTGCATGATGTCCTTAGAAGTTGTAAATAGTTTTGTGAATTGCTAAAAGTTATTGTGATATTTAATAATGCTATTTTTGTCATTGGCCTCTTACCTAAATTTTTATGTGGCTGTAAAATATTGTTAGCATAAGTAACAAGAAGGGTAAATGGGGAATATTATGCAAAACAAAATAACTATAATTCTTCCAAAATCTGTGATCTAAACTATATTTTATGCTCTTTCTTGAAATATTTTACAGTGTTTCAATCCACATGTAAAACTCAACATTCACAGTAACTATACCTGTTCTCTCTCTTTTGTATTCAGAAATATTCTTGTCAGATGTCTAAGTAATGTTGTGATCCATGAATATATAATTACTGAACATTATTTCTAGACTTTGTGTAAAATCCAGCGAAAGACAAGCATGACTCAGTGCTCTGATGCTTTGAATGACATCAATATTTCAAAAAACAGAGATCCATCAATAGTTCCTTGTAAGTTATTGTTATTTTTTAACTTGATAATAAAACGTTTAAGACTAATTTAATTTCTGCTAAATGATATAAAACTTCCAATTTTAATTTGTACCAAGATATTCATGAAAATAAGTAATTACAGTTTAAACTTATAATTAAAGTTCAAAGTTAATGCATGACTCTTGTGGGTGTATTTCACTTGATGAAGATATTGTTTGTAAAATTTTCAGAAATTCTTTTTTATTTTTTAATACATTGTATTGAGCAACCAATAATGTGTGTGTTTGTGTGTATGTATATATATATATATATATATATATATAAATGCATCTATATACCAGAAAATTGTGGTTTGTATTGCAGTTTTGCAGTGAAGTATCACTTAGTGCTATGCTGGATTATTTGTTGTAATTATAATAATCTGTTTATTACATATATTTAACTGCAATGTTTGAAATTAAGTATTTGAAAAACTTCTGTCAAAAGTTGTTTTTCAACTGTTATACAAATTTTAGGTGTGTAGAGGCAACCATCTTCTGCATCTGAGTAAAAAAGTAATATAAACTTGTTATGTATGTTATAAGCATGGTTGTGTGGAATTTTATTGCGAAGAAAAATTGTAAATAAAAAAAAATAACATATGTATATATATATGCAATGTTTAAAAGTTTAACTTTCTAAAGTTTCAATGATAATTTTTAAAACATTTCTTGTAAAGTTTGGTTTCCTTTATTAATGCTTTCTAAGTATTTTGTTTGAAACTTGTTTAACTTGCAAGAATATACATCCATTGTTTATTTGTTTGTAGCAAATAGAGCACGCATCCAATTGCTAACTCCAGTAGCAGAATCAAAGAGTGATTATGTCAATGCTATTACTGTGGATGTAAGTTTCACCCATTTGACTAAGACATATTTATAATAAACACATGTCAGGGCTTTTATTGTGGATGTAAGTTTCTCCAATTTCACTAAGACATATTTATAATAAACATATGTCAGTGCCTTTACTGTGGATGTAAGTTTCTCCAATTTCACTAAGACATATTTATAATAAACATATGTCAATGCTTTTATTGTGGATGTAAGTTTCCCATTTCACTAAGAGATATTTATATTAAACATATGTCAATGCTATTACTGTGGATGTAAGTTTCTCTAATTTCACTAAGACATATTTATATTAAACATATGTCAATGCTTTTATTGTGGATGTAAGTTTCTCTAATTTCACTAAGACATATTTATAATAAACATATGTCAATGCTTTTATTGTGGATGTAAGTTTCCCATTTCACTAAGAGATATTTATAATAAACACATAAAATTAACAGTTTACATACACATATCTATTTCTGTAATATACTGAGATAAAATTTGATGTGGTTAATGTCCATTTACAAAATTTGCATAACTTTACATATTAACAGCTTTAATTATATAAAAAAACCAGTCGTACCATCACAGCGTTGTCTTTTTTAGCTGCATATCACCTAATATTGTGCTCATACATACTCTTTAGCATTACATAAGCCTAACCTATAGCAGTATTATGACAACAATGATACTAAATAAATTATTATGTGCTGTTCATTACATGTAATATAGAGAGCATAAGCATTAAAACCATGGCGTCTGTAATGTACCATTGTACAAAACTAAAACCATAACTTATGCATGCACACGTAAATTACTTTGGCATATATATAGTAGTAAAGTTGTGGTATACCTAAGATGTCATAGGGAACCCCATGATATTTACTGATACATATTGCCATATATCAGTAAGTATTCTTTATATGCTAAAAACTACACATCCTGTTTTGTAATGTACTTGCATGTACAACTGAGATTCATTTTTAAAACAGGATGTTGTCTGCAGTATTTCTTCAGATATAAAGATTGCATTTCTTCATTGAAAGCATCAAATGTAATTTATCAGTTTAGTTGTTCTTGTTGTAAGCAAAGTTATTTTGGTTCTACTTCAAGAAATCTGCTGATTCCAATATAAAATCTGTAAATTTAAGAACAGCAAATAAATATGTTGTATTGGAGCATGTCCTAAGTTAGTTTGATGTGGGCATCCATTCAAATTTTCTTAAAATTTTAACAAGTGCCAATGATGAACAAAGCCTATATATAAAATAGAGCATACTCATTCAGCTAATTCAGCTTATAAATTTCTTATTGTTTAATCACATTATAGAAACTTGTTTCTTTATTTATAACTAGTCATGAGTTACTTGATGTAATTCATAACTTTTCACTGAGTGTATTTTGTCACTGGTTGTTTAAATCAAACACTGAATTAATATTAATATTTTTGACCATGAGCTTGAAAATATGACATTATAAAAAGAATGTTTTTGAGCTAATAACCTGGATTAATTATCATGAAAATGCTTATTGTACATGGAAAATACAGTTTTAGTTATGCTATTGTGAAAAAGTATTATAAAAGTCAACCAATTTATATTATCATGTAACATATAATAGACAATATGATCAGGGAAGAAAGGCTTAAAGAAACTGAAACATTTAATATACTACAAAACATGCAATGTTGTAATCTGTGACATATTTTGGTCAAAGCCAATGAATTTTTAACGCACTAAGTTTATTTTTTGCTCCATTCAGTCTTATCGAAATTGTTTGTATGTAACCTTTAATTTGTTTTTAGGGTTATAAGCACAAAAATGCCTTCATTGTCACTCAGATGCCTCTTAAACAAACTATAGTGGACTTCTGGCGATTGATTTATGATATGCGATCTTCAGTTATTGTAATGTTAAACGATCTTAGTAGAACTGAAAATACTGTGGTAAGTAACACATATCAGTAGTGTGTGTGTGTGTGAGAGAGAATAAATAGCTCTTGAGAATGATATTCTGGGTTGGTAAACAGTTCCTGACGATGTATTATTGTGTGTTAATAAACAGGTCTTGAATCCATATATATTATCATTATTATTTTATGTGTGCAGTCAGTTCTTGAGCATGAGCTCCTCTTGTTTCTTAGCAAATTTTTCATATATTTATGTATTTGTGTAAATAGTTCTTGAAGATGTTATGGTGTTTTTGAACAGTGTGCATATATATAATCTTAATGTGTACACCTAAACAGTTCTTTAGGGTATATTATTATTGTATTTGTAACAATTAACTGTCTTTGATTTTTGCTTTGTATCTGAGTAAATAGTCCTGTATTTTTAGGTTAAATCTCGTCACTCTCATTGATTAGTATAGGTGGTAAAAAGATTTGGCAATTTTATTCTTCAATTAAATATAGGAAACATTTAAATTATTTACTCTGTGTGCTTACAACTCTAAAGAAGTTGCTTAAAATTGATGGAGGACAGATTTAAGGAACGTTTTCACATACAACACTTATTTTTGTGGTTGATATTTTAATTAATGCAATACTTCAGTTAACAGTCAGTTAATAAAACAACAGTTTAATATTGGGAAAATTACAACTCTAAATCACTGCATTAGCTTTTGATTCTTTAAAAGACTAAAGTATTGTAGTTTTCAATTATCTGACTTATTCTTTTAAAACTTTAATATGTTTCTGGATCATTATAGTTTTGTTCAATAATTATTTTACCTTTTGAAAGTCTGTCAAATTATACATAAAGTTGCGGGACTTAAATAGCTTCACACATTATCTACTTGATTTAGACCTTTAAGGATATAACTGTATTATATATATATATATATATGGTTTGCTTCAAAAAGCTTGTTTCTTAAACCATGTTTACTATGTAGAACATTGGACAGTATTGGCCTAGTGAAGGTTGTGCAACGTATGGACCGTTTGAAGTACAAATTGTTACATTTGAAGATCAGGGCACACTTATAGTGCGAATTATGAAACTAATCAACATAAACCAGGTAACTTTGATTCTAGTACTCAACCCATTAACTGTGGATGACGGATATTTCTGTCATTGAAGTTTTATATTGCTCGGCTGCGAATAACGGATATTTCTGTCATTCGCACCTATATAACTATAACTCTATGCAAATGACGATAATTACCATTTTATTGTGATTGATGGCAACTCAGTTTTATCTGTGAGTCAAAAAACGACAACTGAGATGCTCCTGCCGCAGTTAATAGGTTAACGGATAGTTATATTATATTGTATTCATCATTATAATCTCAACATTATTATTAAACTTCATAAATATACATTAAATAAAATAAAATCATTTAAAAAATCCTGAATTAGCTTTTATACATTTTACACATATTGTATAATTTGTTGTACATTTCATTATTATGTATTGTGAATCTTAGTTATGGGCAAAAACTTGGTTATCTCGTTAATTTGTATAATTTGTTGTACATTTCATTATTATATATTGTGAATCTTAGTTATGGGCAAAAACTTGGTTATCTCGTTAATTTGTATAATTTGTTGTACATTTCATTATTATATATTGTGAATCTTAGTTATGGGCAAAAATTTGGTTATCTCGTTAATTTGTATAATTTGTTGTACATTTCATTATTATATATTGTGAATCTTAGTTATGGGCAAAAACTTGGTTATCTCGTTAACTTTTCCTACCAGTGTGAAGAGAAAAGAAAGGTTTGCAATGGATACCAAAAAACAAGAAGTCCATTTTATAATGATTCTGATATGTCAATGTGATGACACATCCTTTGATTTCTTAAAGCAAAATAATGGTCTCTGCTTCTATTCTGCATTATTATGATTACTATAAATTTTTATTCATTGTGAATAATTGTTTACTTAAAGGTTTTGGTGACCAATACAACCTGGCACTAGTTTGTGGGCATGATTCAATATTTCATGTCGTTAAAATGTTTTTTTAAATATGATCGTCTAAGTTGGCAATACAGTAAGTATGAAAGTATGTGCCCCGTTTTGATTACATTAGATTTACCAAAGGACTGACCCCTCAAAACTTGTTAGCTGGGCTTTCTATTAATGAAAATATAAATGACTTGAAAGAGGGTTATGAAATGAGTATATAGTCTATGACATAAACATTGTCAGGTGAAGTTAATTTCTTAGTGTTTGTTCTGGACGTACAAGACTGCTTCAGTTTTCATCTTTAATATTATTATTATCACGTAAGGTTGTATCTTAATATTGGGGTTCTTTTCAGCCCAATGAAGATCCACAAAAAGTCATTCAGCTTCAATATATGGATTGGGATCAGGAAGAAGTGTTGCCAACTAGTGCCACATCAATGTTGGCATTGTTGAATCAAGTTGAAAGGTGGTACCGACGTACAACTGGCGGACCAATTACTATACACTGCATGTAGGTTCTCTGATGTATAGAAAGTGGATGTTTTTATTTATATAGCATTCTGTCAAATCTTTGGTCAAACTATGTCTTTCAGAAAATTCAGAGTTCATTAGACGTTCATAAAAGAGATTAATGTTTTTTTAATGGCAGTGGTGAATATATAAAAAAGGGTGGCCAAATACGGAAAAGTTGTGGAATATGAGAAATTAAAATTAGATAAAATTGTGCGCCCCGTATACGATGTCGTCATAAATTCTTGTTTTATTAGTAATTCCCAACTTCAGAACCAACCAAGAAATACATAGTAATTTAGATATTAAAAGAGGATTTGCTATATCCAACACTCTTTTGCTTTCCTACAATGCAAAAAAATATATACTAGGTTTACATTCACTGTCCCAATGCAATCAATGTGTCAGAAGTTTAATAACTTATGAGTCCTAACCAAAATTGAAGCTCTTTAACAATCTATAGTTCTATAACATCAAGTATTTCCTCAACTTTCTTCCTTTAAAGCTATGTTCCATCTTTGCCCACTATACGTGCAAAATATTTGACATTGGGTTGAAAAAAATGCACATTTACTTTTATTACAAAGTTATCCAACCTGGTCATTGTCTTGTCCAAATTTTAAAATGGTCTTCCTCATCGTTGAAGATCTTACTATAATAGATGTAGCGTGTATGTATATATCTTTGTACGAAACCAAAACAACATGAAATGAAGCCTCAACTATTGAATGGCACCACAAATCCATAAAAAAATTCACATTCTGTGTATTCAAGATTCAGACAATTTGAGAAATAACTATGGTATTTCCTACACCCACTTCTTCATAACAGAACACAATTTTAAATAAAAGTACTGTCCCACACAACAAGAACACAACTTTCACTAGGACTGTACATGAGTGTTTGATTATATCTTTGTTGATGTAATTTTTAAACGTAGTACTAATAATAAAGAATAGCACTTTTGATATATATATATATATAACATTACATTTTATATCAGTAACGTATGAACATTTTGAGCTCTGTACATTGAATCTTATTGATGCAATAAGTTGTGCATGACTAAAGAGAACAATCCCAACACTTTTTCCATATAGTACTTCCCAGAAAAAATACATTTTTAGAAAATGTTCACTTTTCCTTACGATTTTTTAGAATTAGGTATGAATACTGTGATTAGTAATTACTAGTACAAGCAGCTGCCCATAGGGCGGTGTTTCTACTAGTTTAAAATAGTACTATATTCGATGACGAGGAACCCACTTTGAGACTAATAATGGTTGTAGATGGCTTGAATGGGTAATGAAGAAAACTTTAATATAAGTTTAACATAACAGCAAATGTACAACGTTTCAACAAGGTTTTGTCATCATCAGGTACAAGTAAAAGTATGCAAGTTTCAACGCATGGTCTACGCTTATTCAGTGATTGTAACTAAGCTATAAGTATAACTTAATACTAGTATTCAGTAATAGTACAACTGCTAATATTATTGTTAATAGTATTAGTACAGCATAAGTTGAGACGATGGTAAATAATTTTTAATTGTCAGTTCTTGTAGGCCACGTAATCAAACAGGTGGTTTTATTATTATTATTATTGAGAAATTGTAAAATGAGATTAGGGTTTATAATATTAATAAGAATACAGGTGCAATGATTATGGGAGACTTCAGTTATATATTATCTATAGACACATTGTTGGATACATGTGGAGTAAAATAAGAAGGGTAAGAGATTTCTTACTTTACAATTTGCATATTTAGTTCATTCTTTATATTCTTTGCATGACTCAAAGGTGAAGATTTCTGAAATTGTGTCCTCTTGAAATAGAGTTAGAGAAGCATCTGATTTAGGTGTTTAAGGGAAATTATAGTGTCAGTACACTCACATTGCTATTTCAATCATTTTCACAGATTTTGATTTTGCCTACGTTTTATTCTTTTTTATTCACTTATCTTTCTTTGGTCTCCCTCTCTGTGGATATTTCCTAGCTAAATGGCCAGTATATGACATTTCTACACACAGAAATAATTATCCTCTTTGTGAGTTTTGTTTTCTACTCCTGACTGATATGCAACCTTAAGCAGAACTTCCCCTCTGACTGCTTCAAATCTTGAAGTTCTTTGTTTTTCTTCCATGCCATCTCCATTACCGATGGTAATATAGACCGCTAAGTTTCTCTCTGACAACAGCTTTTCGATTGAATTACACTTGAATTTAGTGCTTTTTTCATGAATGTCCCAATAACTGTTTCATTTCCATATAAACTGACTTGAAACATTCAGCTATCATAAGTGGTTTTGATTTTCAAAATGGTTAGATAATTTTTTCAATAACTCATTGTTATTAACTGAACTAGGTTTATCGGGGGCTAATAGATTTTGAATAAGGGTATACATCGTACTTTTACATACTGTTAGTAATATTGGCTTCTTTTTAGCTTCAATTTTTAACATCATTTGCACTAAAATACAGTTAATGTTTTGTAGTTGTCATCACAGTTATGCTTGTGCTGGTCGAATTCTTCAATTTTTCCATACACGGCCATCACTAATACTAGTAAAGTATCATAATTCCTTTTAGCTCTCTATTTCTCATCACATTTTATGTTTCTGTAAATCTTTGTTTTGAATAAACCACCACAACAGTCAGGCCCTAGATTACCATTTTATAATTTACAACAAAGTTTAGAATCTACCAAGAAAGAATTTCCTGTTTTTTTCCTCAGAACTTGCATGCACAGATAAATCATGCTGCTTAGCTGAGCCAATTATTGGCTTCTTTTATTTTATCTGGTGATAATTTGATAAGAGATTAAATTAAATGTGCCTTTTATATATAAAAAATACAACATTTTATTTCTCCCATCAAGTTTTAACGTTCTTGCATGAAAACCCTTTTCTGTATTACTGTAGTCAGTAGTCTAGGGTGATTATGGTCTGAAATTTTAAATATAACCACATTACAAACTAAAAAGTCATGAGGAAAAGTTGAAATACCACTGTGGTGTATGCGCACCTGTGTAGGCCTGGAAAATGTAGATTTGAGCCTGGGAAGTCATGGAATAAATTTTGAAAAATAACATAACTATCTTGTAGAATTCTAATAAAAATTAGTAAATTAAATATGATTTTGTAATATTCTCATCTGTTTTGTTTAAATATGTGATACATGACATTTACTGTTCTTTTGATTTATTAATATACAGTAGATGGTTATCCTTTATATTGTAACTTAACTTCATAACTCTTACTATGTATTGACTTTTTTCTGTTTTCTATTGTGTATAAATGATTATCTCATTTTATTATTACCAGGAATGGTGCTAGTAGGTGTGGCTTGTTTTGTACCACTAGCTCTATTTGTGATCAAATAAAATCAGAACACCTCATGGACATTTTCCAAGTGGTCAAGTGGATTCGCAGTAACCGACCAGAATTTATTTATTGTTTGGTAACTATTTCACTTAACACATGGAGAACGAGTTTAAACACGTCTATACACTGGATTGCCAATTCTCAAAAGTGAGGGTTGTGCTGGAATAGTAGAGGGAGCTAGCTGCACTGGTATAGATGGCATGGCATAATTGGTGGAGAGTAATCACATGATCAACACTTTGCTCTTTACCTTGCTCTTCACTTTTTATTGTCTACAATTACTCTCTCTTGATCTTTTTAATATTACATATCTAGTCCGCATTAATTTCCCATTTCTCATGTTAAGCCCATATTTCTAGACCACGAGCGGGGTGAAGGAGGATTGTTCAATCTTCAAGCACCCTAGATTAATAATTATTTCTTCGGAAATAATTATTTTTAAATATAAATAACTGCCAGGTAAATGCAGAACGCATGATCAACACACCCTGAAATGGCACAAAAATGAAGGGGTATAAAAGACTGGTGTTCTATTTACAAACATTTTTTTAGCAATGCTCAGAGGGCAAACCAGGATTGAGATAGCTTTGGATGAGAGGTGGTAGAACCATTTTGGAAGATAAATAATATGTTGCTAACTCACAGCTCAGTGAATGTGATGTACCTTATCCCACAAGCTAATAATGCAACAGATTTGGAATGTGATGTATATAAGAAACTAATTAGGAAACTACATACTAGTCATCACACTACTGGGATAAAAAAAAAGGTTTAATTATTTCATTCTTTTATTATTACGTTTGTTACACTATACTCATATTCTTTGTGAAAGTTACAGAAAAAACAACCCATTTATTTGAATGGACAAAGCTTCAAGATTTCTTTTTGCTATTTAACCATCATTATTTTTTGTACAAGAGTAAAAAAGTGTTGAAATTAGGTCCATCCATACAAGCACATATAAACAAGCTAACCATGGGTATACCTACAGAGAGTAAGGAATACACATTGAAAAACTTGCCACAGATCTCCTAGGGAAAAGAACAATACCTAACCCACCATATTACATGAAGGCACGGTAACAGGTGGAAAGTGCCATAGAAAGAATTTTCCACACAGTAGTTATATCCTTCCTCACAAAAAACCATAACGTGAAAGGAAGAAATTGTCAGCCAAACATATGACATGAACTCCCTGCGAACTAAAGCCTGTGCTTCCCCAGCAGACATCATCGACCCTGAGACCTGGGGACTCGTGTCAGAACCATTGCAGGAATTTCATCATCTGCCATATTAAATCTTGAATTCATATAAACAAATTAGAATTCTAGAAACAGAAATATATCTAAAACAAATGAGTAGAAACAATGGAAATCAAATGCAAGAAGTCGAAACGTAAAGTTGAAACTGATATAAATTTGTGATCAAGCATAATTAAAATTTTGTAGTCGATAATTTAGGTCTTTCATATATTCCCTGCTCAGTATTTGGTAATTTAGATTTTTATAATTCTTTTACCATCTAAGTTTTCATTTAGAGTTTGATTATTACTTTGCTTTTGTTTAATTTTCGGTATATTTACTGGTTTTGTTTGATCGTTACTGTTTGGGTAATTGTACCTTCAGCTAATTTTGTGGGTATGTTGGTTTGTTATTTTTACTTTCCACTCATTATGTTATTTATTTTGTAAGTTCATTTTTCTTTACTACTAATCACATCTAATTCAAGATTAGATTTGTGTCAAAATTTGTTATTGATTAACTGGGTGCCTTTTTATTCTCATGTTCTTTAGGGTTGGTTTTACTATTGTGTCCTTTGTCTTATAGGTTCTTTGGGTGGACTTATATGTTCGATATCTAAGGGTATTTTATCTTCTAAGTTCCTTTAGGGGTTATGTTCTTTAGGTGTTGCTTATTGTTTTATGTTTTAGGTCGAATTTCATAGTTTTTGCAGGTTTGTTGTTTTTATGTACTTTGTAGACTTTACACGTTTTTACATTTTGTTAGTTCGTTAGTATTGAGTACTTTCAGTATGTTTAGTTTATGTGTTTTTTTGCTACACTTCACTACAGTTCCATGGGTTCTATGAGTTCTATCTGAAGCTTTCTGCCTTTAGTTCCACTTCCCAGATCTCTTTCCTTCCTTCTTGGTATTGTACCTCATTCAGTCGTCTTGCCGAGCCTGTTTGAAACCTCCTACAAAAAGGATCTATCAAATGGATGGTGCCCACTCTACAAGGATTTTACTCCCATCTATCTATTGTGTCCGAAAACATGGGAGATTGTAGACCCATCATAGATCTGTCTCAGCAGTATAACTATCTGGAGACACCTCACTTCACCATGGAGCCCTACCTCTTACTTCAGTGGATTTTTTCCTGGGACTTTGGATGACCAGGTTAGAGGTAACAGATGCTTATCTTTATATTCCAAATACCCAGTGTCATGTAATTTTCTTTGGCTCGTCCATGAGGGTTCTGTCTTCCAGTTCTGGGCACTGCTGTTCAGTTCTTTTTTAGCTCCATATGTGATTTGTTGAATGATATGCTCTTTTGCATGTTATCTTCACTCACTGGGTCTTCAGACACACCATTACATGGAGGACTGGCTACTTTTCGCCTCTTCCCGTGCCCAGTCAGTCACT